TCGACCGTCGGTCGGAACTGCCACTACCCCTCCCACGCGCCGAGCCCACAGGGGCAGGAAAAGCAATGGTTGGGTTTGAGACTGTTACGGAGCCAAAGCACTAGCTACGGACTCGAGGCTGGGCGGCCACGACGGCACTGCAGGTTTGAGCACTCACAGCCTTGAGCCAGCTACGGGGGTCACACAAATCAACTCCCCCTCTTGACCGTAAGGTTCCTAGACCCGGTCCTGTCCTCCTTTCGAAGACCACGCCACAGACAAAGTCCTGTGCGTTCGTTCCTCAGTCTGTGCGCCCAGGAGCAGAGGCGGTCCTAAAAGACCCCGAGGCACAGCTCTTCAAGCGTACCTGCCGGCTTGTGAATTCATCCGAGTCGTAGCGTGGCCAAAGCAGTCTCTGCGAAGGCTCTCGGATAGTGTTGTGTAGCTTTAAGGTCAAACGTTTGTGAATGATCGTGGCTACCATCACATGCAAAGTTTCGAGACATGTGTTGAATAAAATCCGCATCGTTAGAAACAAGCTTCCATGTTTTCTTCACCAAAAGATTATCTTGACCTACCATGCCTGCCATGCACCCATGCACAAGCCCTTCGTGGTGGCTTCTGCTCCGCAGGAAGCTCTTCGTAGATTGCCAGCCCCAATAGCTGCATCTCTGTGGCCACTCGATCACCCAGACACTTACTTGTGGGTGGGTGTTCAGTTTCAACCACGATTTCCAAAGCTTTCTGTGCACTGTGAACAGGGCCTGCAAGTGCTCTTGGTGTTGGGGGTTGTGGTGCAAGTGTTTTCTTTGCCAAGGGCTACCCCCGGTACAAGGCGTGCTGCTCCAAAGAACAACCTTCATTCCCCAGCTCCTGGCAACATCCATGGCTGACATGAGCCGCTCCACGGTCTCAGGTGAAGTCCCATCTACTTCCACAGTCACCGGCAGAACAAAGACAGAGTAGTCACACCCCGTGGTCACAAAGCTAGATTGCGGATCGGTACAAAACTCAATGAACATGGTTCCGTACGAGGTTGGGAGCTCACAGAGGCCCAAGAACCTTTCCCACTCAAGTTCAGTGTTGTCAAAGATTGAATTCAACAGTCCTGTAAGGAACACACACGAGCGAACCACCGGCACGGCACAAAGGTTAACCTGGTGGACGTCTTCCAATCCTAAGGTCGTTGTGTGTTTCGAGGTCTGGGGCCTGTTGAGGTTCTTGGTGAGGAGATCACTGACGTTCTCTTCTCCGGCAACCCCGTTAATAACCAACTCGTTCTGATGCACCCTATCCTGAATAAAACTTTTTTTGACTTTGATGCGCAATAGCTCGAGAGCGATTAAGCGAAGGGCATCGGTATCAGAGTGTATTACTCTAATGCCGCGGCAGCTACTGGGCTGCAGATCATTGTTGGATCTTCCCAAAGGCTAAGGACCCCGCTGCGTACAGCCAAGCAGGTCCGACAACTAAGACTGTACAACTAGTTTGACAAGTGAAGACTAAAGGAGAAGCAACGTTTGTGTAACAGCAACTCCACAACTAAGCAAAAAGCGTGACTGGTTTTCAGTCGGCGCGCTGCAAGAAAATGATATATGCGTTTTGCTGGATCCCCACAAGCTCCGAGGACTTTACTTTGCGAGCCGTGGCGTTATCATCAGTGTAGAAGTAGAAGGACTGCGCAAGCACGCCATTCGGTGGCATCAAAATTGAGCGATAGTGACCGCTGTCGGGTGTAGGACCGTGATGAACTGCACAAGCTCTCACAAAGTACTTAACGAAGTACACATCTTGTAGATTGTCGCGAAAAGCAGGAATGTGCACTAAGGGCTCCAGGCAAAGCTTGAAGTCGGTCTTAATGCAAGCTCCATCATTCGTGCTGTCAAAACGGCCTACTTGAATCGCACAAAACTTTGGCGGCTTCAGGAGAGCCTGTGGTTCCGCCTGTTGATGCCAGCACGATAGCAAGTCTTGCAAGCAGCACTCCGAACACGGTGTGGGATCATCAGCGGCTGAGGCGGGCCTGTTTGCTAGCAGCATAGGCCACGTGTGGCCATCATCCACAACCTCCAAGCCACGATGAGGCGCGGACCCCGCAGCCCCCCACGAACCATCGATCAACGATGCATTGAGCTGAGGACGCATGTAGAGTAGGAACTCTGCAATGTCGTGTTGTTGCCTAGGCGCCCGCCAGGAGCGGGTTGCATTAATCCACGGAAGCACGGACCAAATGTCAACAGTGCGACCAGCCTGAATCAGGGATCGCAAAGAGGATCCAAGAGGACCTTCGAAGAGCTGGCATCCGAGGAAGGTTTCACTCCACACAAGGCTCGAAAGTAAGGTGTTGGCATAACAGCTATTGCGACCTTGATTAAGGAGTTTCCATGCTCGGATTTTGGATCGCGTGGCATCAGCTTCAAACTGAGTGTGGCGCCCACCCGAGTCCGCCGAGGAGGAGCTGCCTCCTACACCCTGCCCTGTCAAGCTCACCAGTTCAACTTTTTGGCTAGCGGCTGCAACTCCAGACGCTCGCGACGCATTGTCATGCCGATGAGCTGAAGGCATCCTGCTCCACACAGGTCCTGAAGAGCTTGGAATAGTTGGTGTGCTGTCTGCCCTTGGAGCGAGATTTGCAGCAGGAAGGGCATCGTGTTCTCGACATTCTCGGTCAGCTTCCGGGTCGCTGCAAAGCGGTGGATCATGTGGTCCATGTTCAGGGCCTGGAGGATCGAGGTGATGTGCTGAACCAGGGAGGCGTGTGGTACCTGGCGGACCGGATCCTCCGGAATAAGGCATTCTTGGCGCTGCGACCACTTCAGATATTGCCACTGCATGCTGTCTCGGCTGAGCCATCCGTGCTTGCGGGCCGTCGCTATGTGGCCTTCGTTTAGGTGCTCCATGCGGTCCTTCAGAACGGTAAACACTTTCATGAGCAAGGCTTGGCGCAATGTGAGATTCTGAAGGGTGCCTTGCGTCTTGGCCTCGTTCCAGAGACGGCTCGCTTGAAACACCTCCCTCAGGATGCCGTCGGGACCCGATCGCATGTGGAGAACGAATCCTCGATCCACACGAAGGGCCGCCAACTCCCATTCGTGTCGCACCAGCAGCTGCCGGAGCAGCTGGATCTCCTGTGGCGTCACATACATCTCTGAGTAGCCCTGGTAGCCCTGATAGCCCTGGTAGCTCGCGGGATCCTGAGTCGACGGCCAGGGCCAGGGCTGTTGATATGTGCTCTTGCCCTTGCCTTTGCCCTTGCTTTGTCCCTTGCCCCACTGTCCGCCCTGACCCTTGCCTTGATGCTTTTGGCCTCGACTTTGGTTGAGCGGGGCTCCGCTTCGCTTTGGTGAAAACGGGTGGATCGGCGGCGGTTGGCGGAAGGACGGGAACGGGCTCGGCAGCGGTTGGTTGAACACCGACTCGAACTCCATCAGAGGCGATGGCTCGGGTTCCATGCTCATCTCGGAAAACATAGCCGTGGTGAGCAGCCAGCAGCCGCGCAGCAAATAGCACAGTACAGGCCTCTCGGTGACGGATTCGCGGCCCCTTCCAAGCGATGCCACACAATTGGCACGGGGATTGGATAAAGTAAGACGACTTACGACAGACTTCAATGACCTCTTGAATCATGTCCTGTTGGTCCCCATGTTTTGTGCGCATATGCTTCTTAACTTGACCGCTACTGTTGGCCACCCAAAGGTGACAAAGCGGGCAGTGTGCCAGTGCGACTTCTCGAAATCCTGGGGATTGAGCCAATTGCAACCAGCCCCCCTCGCTGAGATGTTGGAGCGTGCTCGGCCTGTCCCTAAGCGGAGTGCTTTCTGTGCTCGCTTCTTTCGGGAGCGGCGGATGCTGTCCGTAATCCCTGCTATTGTTCGTGTATCCGTGCAGGACAGGGCATGCTTGGGCCTCTATATGTTTACGAAACTGAGGTATGCCAGAGAAGGACTTACGACAGTGTTTGCAAGTGGGCATGCCCGCGTACGAATGTGCTTCGAACTTGAACGGTGCAGCTGTGGCCATGGCAAGCTCCCTCTCAGAAAGGCCGTGGATCGAGGTCATATGGTACCTCAAGGCCGTGGTGTCAGCAGCCTGGTAGTTACAGACAGGACACACCAGGTCAGCATGGGCACCCGTTTCAATCGGAGCCGGAGGTTTCTTTCAAAAACCTGATGTTTCGCAAAGGTCGAGTGATATCAGATATCACGTATCAAAGCGATGCCAATCATATAAAAATCAATCCATCTCGGAATATGGCAAGATCAATCAGTAAAAGATATATTGTATCAGAGATCCTCACAATGTAAGTTAAATGAGGATTCACAGAACTCTCGCGCCGCACTCTTTTTATTCGCACGGTGATCAAGGGTGAATTCTGATTCAGGAGCCCCCACAGCTCCGGCCAAACCGATGATCAAGCATCTCGGGTTTGGCAAGCTGAGATTTCCAAGATCAAGGGAGCAGCGTCCTGAATGCCCCCCCGTCCGCATTGGGTGGGAGGGTGGGAAAGAAAAATTTCTTGCCTCTCTCTTTGAGCAGACTCGCGGGAAAGCCAAAGGTATCCGAACTGCTTATTCAAAGACAATGAAAGTTCTCATGCAAGAAATGTTCTTCAAAAACTCACATGCAAAACACGGCAGCTCTGCTGCCTGTCAGGTTTTTAAAAGAAAGAAAAGTCTGCAAGCAGAAAATGTTCTTCTTTCAAAAACCTGATGTTTCGCAAAGGTCGAGTGATATCAGATATCACGTATCAAAGCGATGCCAATCATATAAAAATCAATCCATCTCGGAATATGGCAAGATCAATCAGTAAAAGATATATTGTATCAGAGATCCTCACAATGTAAGTTAAATGAGGATTCACAGAACTCTCGCGCCACACTCTTTTTATTCGCACGGTGATCAAGGGTGAATTCTGATTCAGGAGCCCCCACAGCTCCGGCCAAACCGATGATCAAGCATCTCGGGTTTGGCAAGCTGAGATTTCCAAGATCAAGGGAGCAGCGTCCTGAATGCCCCCGACATCACGCGAACCCCTGATGAAGGAATCTCTGGTTTGAGCTTTCATCATGGATGAAAGCTTCCACGACCTTGGCGCCTACCAAGCTGAGGATGCTGTGCCCCTCACCTCGTGAAGGGGGATCGGCTATGTTGGAAAAGGAAGGCACTCTCTCGTACCAAGCGATACAAGGCGCCTCAGCTTCGATCACTGCAAGATAATGGGCGAGGCGATACATCGACTCGCTCTGGCTCAAACCTTTGATGGCTGAGGTGCGTGCGGCCTCGTTGTCAAGCCAAAAGATGACTCTTCTGTTGCACAAGCTGTTTTGGAGCATGCGACGCAGAGTGACCAAAGCGTAGAGCTCGATCTCGCATATGAGTTGCGATCCCACATCCAGCTTCCAGCGTTCCAAAAGCTTAGCGGGTACACAACCGGCAAAAACCCTGGCACTATCATCTAGCGTGTCAAGAACAACCGCACCTATTCCCGCCCAAGGATCTTCCCAAGCTCCATCCGTCCAAACATGAATGGGCGGTCGAGGGTCAAAGATGCGAAGGACTCTAGGTGGAGTGGTGCTCAAGACAGCCTGCGTAGTTTTGCAGAAGCGCTTTATTTCGGCAGCCGTTTGGCGCTTCCCCCTTACCAAGGAGAGCAGGAAGTGGCACGCTGGCTTCAAGGATCGGCCTGCAAAGAAACCTGAGGCATAGTTCAAGAGTCCAAGGAGAACTTGCGCCTCATGCCTGCCCAGGGCTCCCTTGTCAAAGATGCTGCCCAGCATTTCGGAAATGCGCTTGACACGGCCTTCCTTGTTTGCCAGCACGGCAGCACCTTCATGCAAACGACTGATGTCCAGCTGCATTCCGAGGACTGTGAAGGCCTCCTCGTACGGTTGACCCTTTACCCCGGTCTGGGCGAAGCGCCACCCCAGCAATTCTAGGAATTCGGAAGTTAAACCATCAAGCTCGTGGGCCCCATCTCTCAACGTGAAGAGAGGGTAATCGTCGAAGTAGTTGGCTGAAGGGATCTTCAGCACTTTGGCCAGCAGGAAATGCAAGCTTCTAGCTACTCTTACAAATCCATACACCGACGATGTCAAGCCGAACATCAGTGCGTTCGCAATAAAGAATTGCGGTTCGCCATTCTCATTGGGATGGCAGATGACGGCGATGTCACGGTGTTGCGGGAGTACCCCTAGTTGTTTATAAGCTTTTGAGAGGTCTAGGGTCCGACCCACCCACTTCCTCGCAGCGACACCTAGGCGCTCTGAACGTTCCTTTTCGGCCTGGGAGATCAGCAGAGCCAGACCCGCAACGAAGTCGGCCCCTTGAAGTTCCAGCTTAATCAAGGAAGTGAAAGCCTCATTGACCTGCGAAGCATGCCCATCATCTATGGGTCGAATCTTCTTCTCAAGGCCTTGCTCAAGAACGAACCTGGGAATGATGCCCCAATCCGAATGGCCGAAAATTTCAGTGACCTGGGCTTCGGTGTAGGGTCCCTCTATGAAGTTATCGGTAACCTCGGAGTTAGAGGCCTCCTGAAGAAGCGAAATCTCTTCAGGGGTCGCACGGTTCGGTTTTGACAAGGCAGCACGACGGCGCAAAGAGGCAGTGGCCCTGAGTTCCGATTCGGACATGGAAGCCATGGCCACCTTGGTCTTAAAGCATTCAGGTTTTTCCGAAGTTCCTACCAAAGGCACCCCTTTCTTCATTAGATCCACTACCCCCATGTCGTCAAAGCCATGATTTCTAAAGAGAGACTCCCACAAGCAAATCCTTTTTCCTTTGACCACCTTCTCGAACCAAGGCGGGAAGGAGGCATGAAGTTTTGTCTCTTCCTCTTCAAGGGATTTGGCAAGGAGCTTCACCTTAAGGAGCTCAAGCTTCCTAAGCTGATTAGCTTTGGCAGAGTCATGCGCCATGCAAAAGTTGACGGCTTCCCACACAGGTGGGTCAACTGCGATCGCCTTGTCCACAGGATGCTGCAACGTTCGGGCTTTCGAGACATGCTGATCCATATCGAGCCAATGGCCTACCTTGACAGGTTTCAAGTTCTTTGGATCCGAAGTCTGACCCCCACTATCCCCCTCAACGTGGGTCAGGAGGATCTTGCAAGACTTATCTGGCTTGAAGCGGGGAGTTTCCCAGGTGACCTTGTGAAACTGTTGAAACTAAAGGCTTCTCAAGCCTTTCTTCCCACTCTACTTTCAAACACACTTTTCTCACTTCGCGGGCTGACTTGCTTAAGCCTCCGTGTCGCGGTTCACACACATGTTTCATGTGTTCTCGTGATTACTCTACACACTCTACTTGGGACTACGTGCACTAGGTTACAAACGAACACCCCGCCTCAGAAAGTTCTTGCGGGTTCCTAGGGTGTTCTTGGAAACTGCTAGGGCTTTCTGTACAGTGCTTTTGCTAGGGACTTTCGTCTCCGTTGTTCTTGGTCTTTTACCTAGCTGCACTCCTGCCCTGTTGCTACTTAGGCCTTCTATGTCTGTACATTGGCCTTCTTGAAAAACCTACTCTGTATGTACAGCTACGTTCTAGTTAGGTCCAGCCTATGGACTCTTTGCGGGGAGGCCCGTACCCCGGTTTCCTTCCGCCCTTACGTAGCCTACGGGCTTTTCTTCTTTCGGGCTTCTTCTCTTTGTTCTTGGCTTCTCCGGCTTCTTGCCTCTTCTGGCCCTTGTACCTTCCTAGCCTGCCTTTTGTGAAACTTCTTGTGAGACTTTGGAAGGTTGTAGCTTACCTAGGCTTACTGCCCCAGTTTGCTACGTCTATACATTTCCTCACACTTTGTACATGAATTCTTGTGCTAGTATACATCAAGTCTTACGTTGCTTAGCTATGTACATATGTACAAGCGCTCACTGCTTGACCTGCTCGATCATCCCTTCTCGGGATCCTTTCACTGGGTCTGTGCCCAGTTCTTGGACTTCTTGCCTTTACCCTTTCCTTTGGGTGTCCACTGGTCCCACTGGTTCTGCTGCGCCCACTCTTCTGGCGTCTGCCAGTAGCCTTTGTTGTGCGGGTTCGCGTTCTCGTACCAGTTGCTGCCGTCGTCGGTGGTGCTCCAGTTCTCGTTGTTCCACTGCTCGTTGTAGTACCAACCGTCGCTCTGTCCGTCGTCCCAGGAAGGGCCTTTTCCCTTCGTTCCTTGGTTGTCGTGCTTGCCTTTCGCGTGGATGCGTCGCTGCACCTCTTCCTCGATCTTCTCGTTCTCCTTGGTCTCGAGGAATTTATCCAACTCCTTTCCGTCTGTAAACCAAACGTTGTGCTTCCTGTAACCCTCTGTCACCTTGTTCCAGAGCATGCGTCCCTTGACAGGCGCATTCTTGATTCTCGCTGCACCTTTCTTGTCTTCACACTTCGCGCGGTACTCTTGCGTCTTCTTGTTGAACTCCCACACGTAGCCAAGCTGCGTGAACTCGGCTATGTCGTTCGGGTCGACGGTAGCTTCGTCTCCTTGGTTGCTTGACGGCTTCTCTTCTTGGTCTTCTGTCTCTACCTGCTTTGGCCTTTTTCCTTTCTTCTTCTCTTCCTCTTTTGCCTGCGCTTCTTTCTTCTCTTTCTCTTCTTCTGCTTTGCTCTTGTACGCTTCTTCTGTCTCTTCTTCACCTTCGCTTCCAGACAAGGTTGCACCTAAGGTTTCCTTGAGGCTTTTGACCTTCTTCTTGTACTTCACGATCTTGTCCTTAGCTGCAAGTAGAAGTGCGTCCACTTCCTGTGAGTAACCTTTGAAGTACTGGTAGTCGTCCTTGAGGCTCTTGTAGTCGTACTGGAGGTCGTCGAGCTTCTGGTTCCTTACTTTCTCTTCTTGCTTTAGCACTTTAAGCTCTCTCTCCAAGTCCTTCTTTGCGTCGTCAACGTACTTCTTGGCGTACTCTTCTCTCTCCTGGTCGTAGCCGGCGGTTCTTTCCTGGGCTTTTCTCTCTCTCTTCTCTGCCTCTTTCTTCTTCTTCTCAACCTCTGCTTCCTTTGCTTTGACGTTCTCCTCAGCTTCTTCAAGGGCTGTCTCCTTCTCGCTTAAGACCTTAGCTTGTCCTTGGAGGGTCTCTCGGTCTTTCTCTAACTTCTCTTCTCTTTCTGTAACTTTGTCTTCCTTTTCCTTCACCTCCTTCTGCTTCTTCAAAAACCTTTTCACTGTCTCCTCAAACTCTGTCTTCTGGTTTCCAAACTGCTCCTTCTCCTTCTCCAGGTTTTCTTCCTCCTTCTTCAACTTCTCTGCTCTCTCTGTCACTTCTTTCTTTGCCTCGTCGAAGGAGTCCACGTCGTAGTTCACCTGAGCGGCAGGAGCTTCGTCTCTTTTCTTCCTTCGGTTCTTCTTCTTCTTTTCCTTCTCTCCACTTCTGCTTCCTGAGCTGCTTTCCTCTTCTTCTTCGCTGCTCCTCTCTTCTCTCTTCGGCTTCTTGTGCTGCTGTGGCTTTCTCATCTCGTTCACGACAAACCATGCCGCCATGCACACCATGGCGAGCGTCACCAGGACTTCCAGAAGCGACATGCTTCCAGGACTGCTTGGGACTTCTTGTGGGCTTGCTACTTCTTGAGCTGCGGCGAAAGGTACGTAGACTGCCTCAGTCTTTCCAAACAAACTTAAAAGTGCAAACAACATGCTGCTTTTGTTCTTCATGATCTTCTCGAGTCTTCTTACCACTTGTGCCTTTTCTTCTTCCTCTCGCTCTTGCTCTCCAACTCTTCCTTCGCTGTTGCACATGCCGATCATGTTCAGGAGAAACTTCACTCTTTTCGTGCTGAGAGGCTTTGTTCCTAGGTCTGCTGTGTTTTCCTTTGTACCAACTGCGTGTACAGTAAGCTTGCCTTCACGTATTGCTGCTTGTAGCCAAAGTAACCGAATCTGTAGGTGCTTGACTCTTCCTGTTCCTTGGCGGTTTGTGATTCCGCGGCATGCGGAACTGTCTGTGTATGCTTTGAGTAGTACTCGTTCTCCTGTAAGGAAACGAACTGCTGCGTGTAAACCTATTCCTTCGCTTGCTGCTCCAGTAAGTGCCATGTATTCTGCTTCTGCTGAAGATAATGCTATCGACTTCTGTGTCCTGCTGTAGCTGTAGAAGTATGCACCGTCCAGGTAGAACATGGCGCAACTCACTGACTTCCTAGTCTGCTTGTCTCCGGCCCAGTCGGAGTCGCTAAAAACTTCCAGCAAACGTTCGCGTGGTTGTTCTCGAGATTCTCGTAGTTCTTGTGGTTCTTCGGCGCGGTGACGTAGAGCTGACGTTCCTGGGCTGTTCCTGTGGTACGTAACGGCGTAGTCTGACGTTCCTTTGAGGTAGAGTGCCAAGTGCTCCAACTCCTTTCTCTTACGTTCCGTTGGCTTCGTCATGGCAGTACTGAGGCTACGTACTGCGAACTGAATGTCCGGACGGTCGTGCGCTACGTACAGCAAAATGCCGACACAACTTCTGTACGTTCTCGAGTGTTCCTCGTCCAGTTCTTGGGATACGTCAGGTTCCTGACTAGCCGGTGTGCAGGGTGAGTTCTTGGCCTTCTTCTTCTCCAGCTTGAGGATCTCCACGAGTTTCTTCACGTACTTGCTATCGCTATGTACTCGTAGTTCATGTTGTTCGTACGTGTACTTCCTTTTGAGAAACTTCACGGTCTCCTCAGAAAATCCTTTCTCGTAGTCTTCCTCGTTCAGAAGAGGTCCTTCAACTTGTAGGTTCACTTTCTTCTTGAGGTTCCTGAGGATTGGTTCGATGACTTCCTTCTTTCCTGCAAACTGCAAGTCATCTACGTGCACAATGCAAACTGCAACCACTTTTCCTTGTCGTAGAAGACGGTAAAGTGCTGGAACTGCAGTGCAACGCTCAAACTTCTCTTCCACCAAAAGACCATCACAAAAGTCTGACCAAAGACTGGATGCGTCGCGTTGACCTGGCAAAACTCTTCCTAACTTCCAACACCAAGTTCCAGGGTTGCGTTCTTGTTGTTCCTGCATTGCTTGTACAACGTGAGCTGCTTCTTCAGGTACTCGACACAAACAAGGTGTTCTTTGAGGGACTTGTAGAAACGCGTCCTTCACGTCGACACTGTAGATCGCCCAATGGTTGGCGAGAGCCAACATGGGCACCAGTTTTGTAATTCCTGGGCTTGTCGCAGGAGAAAATATATCTTCCCTTTTTCCTTCTGTCTTGTATTCTCTGGCTACTAGTCTGGCACGTCGTTGCCAGCATCTTTGAATCTGCTTGGGCTTTGTTGTTCCTTCTTTGGCTTCTTCAGCTTCAAAACCTGTAGCTTCTCTGAACCTCCAATCTTTCACCAACTTCGTTGTCAACCACTTGTGAAGTTCTTGCTCTGAATCTACCAGAGGTACGCTATCAGTTGCTTCCTGAGGGTCTGTAGAAACCAACGAAATAACTCCCATCTTTGTTAACCTTTTGATTTCTTTGACTGTAGCTTCATCGTCCAACTTCTGAAGAAAAGCCGGATCCACGTTCGGTGGTCCTTTCTCCTCGTCGAAGAACTCGACAGGGACCTTGGTAGAAACTTCCGTTGGTTCACTCTCTGTCTCCTCCTCTTCTTCTTCTTCCGACTCGTACACAAACTCATCATCTGCTTCGTAGACTTCATCATCATGTGGCATGTTGAGGTAACCGTCTGTTTCCTCTGCTCTGTTGACTTGCTTTCGTAGCTTGCTGGGTGAGCTTGGTTCCTCAGGCTCAAGGCTGTGCTTGCTTGCTTCCGCTCTTGGTTCAGCTGGTGCTGAAAGTGCTTCTGCTGAGGCTGTAAGTGGCTCGACTGCTCTGAGTTCCTCCAAAAGGGTCTCGTCATCAACTTCAGCTCTTCTTTTCCTATCTCTCGTCACACTCATGCTGCTGGCTTCACTTTGTTCCTCTCTGTCTTCAAGTGCTTGTTGCTGCTCTTCACTGCTGTCCTCCGAACTCGGAGGGTCGCTAGCGGCCTCGTCGTTCTCGAGCTGTTCGCGTTCTTCCTCGGCAACAGGGGGCAGGATGCTTAGCTGTGGTCGTTGTCTTTGCTTCTTCTCTGGAAGTACTCTTGCTCCAAGGAGTGGCGTGTTGAGGTTCCAGGTATGGACCTCTATGTTGCTTGTTCTTTTGGAGTCGTACTGTTCTGGTAGTGGTCTCACGCTGCGTGTGATATGTATGCCATCAGGCTGTGCAACGATCCATGTGTCTTGCTCTGTCTTGTCTAAAAATATTCCTGCATTCCATATCCTGTCACCTTTCTTCTTGATCTTCAACCTCTTCGCCATCACAACAGTACCAAAGGGTACAAGTTTCCCTGAGTAGGGGTATCCGTGGATAACTTCCTGTGGCGTTCTTCCTGTGGAGCTGCTCACTGCGAACCTGTTGAGTAGCCAGCAGGCGTGTCTAAACGCCCAGCTTACTACTGCGTGCTCGTGTGGTATTGCCAGCTGTGTTCTTTCTCTGAGTTCATCGAGAATGGTGTTCGCTTGCCTCCGTACTGTCTGTATTGCTCTTTCTGCGGCTCCATTGCTTTCGTGGTCGTAAGGAATGCTTTCCTGTAGTGTTGTAGAAAGTCCAAGGCTGCTGCGTACTTTCTGTACTTTGTCCTTGAGTGCTTTGGCTGCGTTCTCGTTGTCTGCTTTGAGAACGAGGGTGTTGTACCCGAGCTGCGTGGTGAACTGCACGAGTGCTTCCGCGAGGTGCGTTGTGCTTCCTGCTCCTCCTTTCCTCTTGCAGGGCACCGCCAAGACTGCCTTGCTCCAGCTGTCCACAGCGACAAGAGTCACTGCTGGTGGCTCTTCACTTCCTGTGGTGCTTGTATAGCAAAAGTCAAAACTGATGACGGGCTTCGCGGAATCCGTAGAGCTGCTTGGCTTGCTCAATCCTTTCTTGTGGTTGTCTTCTCGTGCTTTCATAGCAACGCAATGGGGACACCAAGGCTGATACGGAAGGTGCGTCAAGTTGTGGTACGCTCTCTCCTCTTCCGTTGGTTCCTGTGGTGGTGCTAGGTGGTATGCTTGATGGTGTTCCCGTTGTTCCTTGTGTTGCGTGCTGAGCCTTTCTTCTCTGACTGCTGTGGCGAGTCTCTTCAAGAGCTGCTTCTTGCTTCCTGTTGTCTTCACTCTGTACTCTCTGCAAAGTGCTTGTAGTTCCTTAAGACTGCTTTTCTGCGCTGTGTACTCGACGCCTTCGTGGTAGAAGCTTTCCTCCAAAACTTCAACAACTTCTTGTGGTGCTTCTTGGTCTGCTGGTGCCTCTCTCATCTCTTCGTCTTTACTCTCCTGCGCTTCTGGTGGTGCTGCTGAATCTTCCTTCTCTTTGTAGTGTTCTTCCTTCTTCTTCTTTAGCTCCTCTGCTGCAGCTTCTGCTTTTAGGTCTTCAACAACTTCTGGCTTCACACGGAACCTTGTTTGACCAAACCACGGCAAACGAAAGTGTTCACGTAGAGGTAGGCGGTCTGCTCTCCAGTCGTCGCTGTGTTCGTAGATCTCCGTACTGTAGATGCAGTCTCCTTGGGTATACCTGCTGTTCTCAAGATCTCCAAGGAGGACAGGACAGTTGGCAACTCCTGTCGGGTCAAACAGTACAGTTCTCGGTACTACGTGGTGACGAACAACTTCTCCCTTCTCGAGGTCCATTTTCCAGTAGTCACGACCATGACTTTCTTGCTCTGCTCGGTCTCCAGCTGCATAAGGGGTGCCAAGGATCCAAAGTGGAATTGGCTTTGCTGAAATGGCTGTAACCACTTCCTTTTCTCCTTCTGCAAACTCTTCAAAAGGGTCTGCCTTCTCGGAGTACTTCTTTGAAACTTCAACTGCTCTCCATCCTCTCTCTTCTTTCACCAAAGTGCTTCTGTACGGAAAGTGCGTAGGGCTATACATGAGAGATGGGTTCTCGTAGCTGCTTTGAGTGGCGTACTTGACGATCACCATGCTGTCTGTGTTGTGCCAACCAGGTTCTTCTTTGTTCACTGCTTCCTGAACGTGCTTGTTGAGCTGAACAACTGTCCGAACCATCTTGTAGTTGTTACTGCTGTAACTTCTGCTTCTTGAAGGAGTTTGTACGTAGGCGTAGGCTGCCAAGCTGTTCTTGTGGAGATGCACTGGTATTCTTGAGCTTCCATCTGTAAGACACATACCTTCTTCTTCGTTCACTCGCAACTCCCAGCCTTCTCGAAACAGCTTGCCTATGGCCATCAGCGGGTTGATCACCGAGGCAACGGTGAAGGCTTCCTGGATGCGACAAAAGCTTCCGTCGTCATCAAAGAACGTTAAGTTCAGCATCCTTCTGCCTTCTGTCTTTATTGCCTTTCCTTGTGCGTCCTGAATGGACGAAGGGCGAACCTTCAAAGGGGTTCCTTCCTTTCCTAGCCAAGAGGGCACAAGAGAAACGTCTGCGCCAGAATCCAGGATAACTTCGATTCTTTGGTGAAGATCACTTTCCTGGAAAAACTCTTCCTCTACAACGCGTACTGAAAGAACTTCTTGTGGTGGTAGTGCTTCACGTCCAAGGTACCAGTTTAGTAGAGGATCTTCTTGCTCTTCTTCGCTCTCTTCTCCTTCTGACAAAACAAACTCTTCAGCTTCCGTCACTCTCAAGACTCTTCCAAAGTACTCGATCTCGAGCTCTTCTTCGTCTTCGTCAAGTTCAAAAACTTCAGGGTACGTGACGGGATCGTTGTCCATGTGGTACATCGCGATCTGCCGAACTGTTGGCTTAGCTGTAGACTTCGCGCTTGTAGTTCTTGTTGTTGTGGCTGCCGAAGCGCTACTGCTTGGAACTGTGGTAGGCTGTGTCCTGACGCTTTGCTCGTCTTCCTCCTGTGCGTTCCTGACGTTCTGCTGCATGTCTCTCTGCTTGAGTCTGCAATTGGCTTCGTAGTGTCCAGGCTTTTGGCAATAATGACAAACACCAATTCCTGGGTTGTTGTAGCCTTTACCTTTTCCTTTGCTGCTGTAGCCTTTTCCCCCGCCTTTGCCATATCCTCGGCCTCTGCCTTTTCCTTTTCCTTTTCCTCGTCCTTTTCCTTTTCGTCGGCCTTTGTAGTAGTACTGGCTTTCTCCTTTTCCTTTTCCTTTGCTGTAGCCTTTGCCTTTGTACTTGCCGAATCCTTTTCCTTTCTTTCCTTTCCCTTTATCTTTTCCTTTGCCTTTATTCCACCATTCCACTCGTGAAACATCCATGTCTGCTTGTCCTTGGTGGTCCTTTCCTGAGTTGATAAGGTCTTTATTTTCCAACGAAACTTCCGTTAGCGCGCGTTTGGGAAACCCTAACTGCGCTGCAGAAAGGACCCTGTGCAAAGCACTCTCTTTTTTCTCCTAGCGGACATGGGGGGTCGGTTCGGGCCCGATCTTCGGGCTATGTCGAAACGATGCCACTGGCATTTCAAACCAAAACTCGACCGCTGGTCGGTGGTAAGGCGAACGACTGGTTCACCCCCCTACTAGGGGACAACCCGTACCACGGGGAGATAAAGTGAAACATGCTAGGACCTACTGGGTCACTGCAGCTACTAGGTGCTACTCTGCATTTGCACGGCCTACGGCCTATATACAAAAGCGCACTCTGTGCTGAAAACTCTCCGCGGGAGAGAGCATAGGAGCGCTGCTCCTGGCAGCTCTGCTGCCAAAGCGGTGTCCCGGACCCCGCATACTATACAGGGTGTGGTGGGTGGGACAAAAACTTTTTGGATCACAGATCCAACTCCAAGCCGAAAGCTGCACGGCAAAGTTTGTCTAGTGTCACTCACACACAAGTGAAAACACTGTTTTCCTTTTTCGACAAACTTTGTCTACACTTTCGGCGGAAAATAAAACCCATTCACGCACGCATGATGGATGCTTATTTTCCAACGAAACTTCCGTTAGCGCGCGTTTGGGAAACCCTAACTGCGCTGCAGAAAGGACCCTGTGCAAAGCACTCTCTTTTTTTCTCCTAGCGGACATGGGGGGTCGGTTCGGGCCCGATCTTCGGGCTATGTCGAAACGATGCCACTGGCATTTCAAACCAAAACTCGACCGCTGGTCGGTGGTAAGGCGAACGACTGGTTCACCCCCCTTGAAGGCACTCGAAGCCTTACTCACCCCCCATCTAGTCCGCGCCGAGTGACAAAGCCAACGACACTGCGTTGGGCGGCAAAAATTGGCGCTCCGCACCAAGCCGTTGTGTCTCCTCCCACCAGTCTCTGCTGGGGCCATCAGCTATATTGCTGTCTGTGGGGACTCGAAAGAAAGCGGCCCTGCACTGCAGGGATTCTTCGAAGTCCACCGCCTGCGAGACTATCGCAGCTCCTTCCACCTTGCGTGTGAAGGCCTTGTGCAGGGATGTACGCGCTGCGTCGTTGTCTATCCAGACGAACAGGTCGCTGCCTGCTATGTGCTTAGCCCACATTTGCAGGCTGAGCAAGTAGGGCAGCAGCTCGCACTCGTAGACGAGCTGCTGCTTCTGAGCTCTGGCGGCCCACTGGGCTGTGACTTGGCTGCTGATCTGCAGCCCCCAGGTGAAGGCAATGCCTTCTCCGATGAGCACTGCCCCGAGGCCACACTTGGGCACGAGTCTTGGGGTCTCCCACTCGCAGGCCCCGTCGATGTAAAGGTGCACTTTGCGGCGTGCATGGATGGACACTGTCCTGGGCGGTCCGTGCACGACTCTCTGCAGCAGAAACGCCATGGCTTGGCATTGCTGCTCTGTTAGGGGGACTTGCTCTGGTCCATCCCCAAGAACGTCGCCTACGCAGATCACTGCCATGCGAGTGTTACGACCCCAGGCTTGCTGCTCAGCGAAAATGAGCCTCCCGCGCAGGCTCTGCGCTTCCAAAGGGGACATGCTTCCGCGGGCGAGGGCCTCGCTGATGACCAGCCCCAGCTCTGCTGCGCGGGTTGGCTTGTTGCTCACTGAGATTTCCCCGAGGTGCTGCTTGGACAAGTCCACTCGCACGCCTAGCACGTCAAAGACTTCGCTGAAGTCTGCGTTCTTCTTGGGCTCTGTGGCCACTTGCCAACCCAGCTTGTGAAAAAGGTTGGACACTGCCAACGTGACGAGCTTTGAATGCGCGCTGCGCGTAAGGACGGTGAAGTCGTCGAAGAAGCTTGTCATGACTAAGGCAAGCTTTTCGCGGCCGATGGCTTTGAGCGCTTCGCTGCAGCGGAGGAAAGCGTGCACGGCGGCAACGGCGCCGAAAGGCATGCTATGCAGGTGGGCGATTTTGACCTTCCCACTCTGTGGGTCCAGCATGACGATGCACGCGAATTTCTTGTGTGCGGCCTGCACTGCAAGCTGCTTGTAGGCACTCTTAAGGTCCCAAGTCCTGCCTACAATGCGGTGGGCCCGCTCTGCGGGAACACCTTGGCGAAGCCACTCTAGGCACACTGCAAGAAGCTCGTCGATGCTATCGACTTGGACCTTCTCTGTGGTCCCACAGCAGCTGTTAATGAAGCTGCTTTTGAAGTTATCAATGGGGCGCACTTTGCCCTTTTGAACGACGCCGAAACGGGACGATACTATCGTCTCGTGCAGCTGCCCTGGCGAGAAGTCTTCCAGAGAGAGCCAGCCCTGCTGGCCTTCCTCCATAGTGCTTTCCCAGACCCTGTCCGAGATCCCGTCTTGCGAGGGGCGCAGAGCGCTGCGAACACCTCGCATGCTGATGCTTTGGGCGTTTTCCAGTAGTGACTTCTCGTCTAGAGAAGGTGGCAGAATCTGCACTGGCCACAACCCACTGGGTTGTATCCAGCCAAGCAGGGGAAAGCCTTCTCGCACCTGCTGGGCCAAAGTCTTGTCCGGAAAGTCGATTTCGTTCAGAAGCTTTGCTAAAGCTACTGTCTGCTTGGGCTTGGTGACGCTGTTCACCTGAGCGTCAATCGACGAACGTACCTCGGTCTCGCGGACTTGGCACTCTGTGCAAGTTCGAGAGATATGCATGGATGCCACCGTGCGGCGCTTGGCCAGCAGGACAGTGTCCTCGTGTACTTCGGCGGCAATGGCTCGCTTCAGGGATAGAGGCACTGCCTCGATGTCCCTGGCTGGGTGATCGATCAGGTGCGCTCTGCGCACCCAGTGTAGAGGCTGCAGAGGGATGGCAATGATGGCTTTCTGGGAGGCTTCAATCCACTGGATGAGCCTTGAGCCTTTTGGGAAGCAAGTCCACGACTGTGGAAGCTTCTGCGGAGTCTTCCAGCCTCGAAAGCACCGCCCTGCGGGGCCTTGGAGAGTGACTTTGTCACTGAAGTCTGGCTCGTAGCGTAGACGACGCAGTCGCTTGCGACTGAGAGGCGCTGCCCGGAGTGCTGCTGCGCATTGGTCGGCCGCGAGGGAAACCCAGACGGAACTCAACTGAGTGGTGTAGGCGCTTTCTAGGGATGTGGACCACACTGTGGAACCATCCACTGAGGCTCTGCCCCACGGCAGGTGTTTGTGGCCTCCGTCGCAGTCTCTGCTCAGACCTGCGAACCAATCCAAGTTGGAGAGGATTGCGGTACGTTTGCGGCGCATGCTGCCGAACATGCACGAGTCAAACTCTACTCTGTGAGCTGACTGCAAGGCCTCTCTGAGGCAGGGCATCCTCCACAGGAGGCTACGAGCCGGATTTTCTATGGACCAGCAAACGCCGCGCTGAGACAGGGAGTGGCAACACTGTGCCATAAAAGCGACTAGGCTGTTCGCGCTGCGAACTCGCGCGGCGTCGGCTCCTTTGAGGCCTTTAAGGCCCGCTGGGCGCGCTTCGCTGCGCAAGGGGCCTGGAGCTCCCGGCCTGGGAATCTCTCTAGCTCTGCTAAAGGTGCCGCACGGGGGGGCCCAGTGGACCCATCTCAAATCTTGGTGTGAGAGCACTGCTCTCAGCAAGTTGCGGCCCAACTGGGTGCAAAGGTCGAGCTGAAGGACCTTGAGGCCTCTGGCCTTGGTCCTGTGATCCACGGCGATATTCGAGAAACCTTTCTCGATGGCTGCCTTACTAAGGCGACCGAGGCCGCAGAAAACTTCCACAAAAAGCGGAGGCCGAGGGGTCGCTTGCGAAGCCGGCTCGGGAAGAGTAACGCTCCGAGCGTTGTCTGCCAGCACGCTGTGCTGTTCGGACAAGAGGAGCACTGGGGGCTCGGCGTTAAGCGCGGGCGCGGCGTCGTGAGACGGCGCAGCGGTGGCACGTCCTGGCTTACTTGTTGCAGGCGGGTGCAGAGGCGGTGCCGAGGCCAAAGGGTCAGGGCTCTGCCCTGAAGGAGGAGCAATGGCGGAAGAACCCAGCGCTGCTGGGATAAGAGCTGCAGGCCCTGTCTCTGAGGGCTGTTGCGGC